GTTCACATACGAATAGCTGGTTTAAATGTGAATATAATTTCTCAAAGGGAAAATGGCTCGAGTCTATATTTACGAACGTCCTGTTGACTCTGTTCTGGCAGATGTGACATTCTACGAGAAACTAAATGTAAGTACCTTTTAGAATATGGTTTATCTAAAAAAAATTTGATTATGATAAGAAGTAATCTGGTTGCTTTTGTGTGATCCACTATTAAGTCTGTGTATCATTTTTAGGATTTTATTTGAATCACTTATTTTATTTGTTGCAAAATTATAAGAAATGGTATATGTTTTTTGAATCATCCTCATAAGAAACTTATAGTAATATATTTGCATAGATTTTATTTAATGGACTAAATTCTATACATATAAAATGCAATCGACTTGAAACTGTATTACTGCAAAGATGTGAATACATAGAATTATTTAATAAGATGTCGGATGTACGCTGTACACATGTTTTTCAGAAAATTACAAATGTCGATCTCTGTTAGTGTCAAATTGTATTGCATTCAATGTGAAGGATGTCATTTTTACCAATTTGGGATCATACAAATGCACAAAATGATTGTTAATACTAATGTACAATCATATATTACGTTTCTGAATGTTAAGTTTTATTATCATCATTGAGTGTTTCATGCCTAATTCGTTTTTTTATAGCTGTATATCTACCTACTTTTCCCAGTGAAATATTATTAGTCATAGTTATGTAATCGTTTGCATGAGTTTTTGATTTTTCAAGTTCACTTGTTCATATTCACTAAGTAAACGTCGGTGAAATAATACGTTCATGGGAACCTTTAAATACCATAGAATACAAAGCGAATAGTACATTCGCGTTGTGGTTAGATGTAAATGTCGTAATGAGAAAGGGATAGTCATGCATCATCGCACTGTATGATGGTCCGGCAGCGGTTCGATACAGTCATGGGTAGTTCCCTCTCTTACCGACTAAAGTTTGCTGTTAGGGCCGCAGCGTACCAATATAGATGGCGGTGCGACTTTCGACTAACATGGCGACACTCTAACGGATGCTTCATTCAATGATACCTTGAATGTTAATAGGTCAATAAATGACCGATCCTAATTAGTTGGCATTAATAGCAATACATACTTCTCAGATTACGTGTGTTACAGTTAAGGTGGAATTCTACAACTGCTATACCTGATCCGCTAGAACAGGACTTGAATTAGATTAGAACATACAAAATTGTCACATCTTAAGACCACTTCATCTGTTGAGATGCCGGATTTTTCTCATAAAAGTATTGGTCGTTCTGTCCGTAGCTGCTGCACCCTTCTAATACAGTGACCATAATTGTAAATAAAATCAGCCAGGTTTGGGCAACCCTGGGTGGGTGAAAGCGGATCAGATAAATAGAACTGCAAGCAGCTAAGGAGTGATAAATAGTTTATTCGGTAGTAGTAAAAGAATCGGCCGATTGGGTTGGGAATTAAACCTGGGTCTTTCACTTTCCGGGCGACTGTTCTTACCACCAAACTACCCGGGCTGTCGGCTATTCTTCCTCTTCCAATTCATATAACGTACAGGAAGGGTATGTTCCATTAACACCTAAATTGCCCATAACGCCTGTGATTTTCGTTCGATGTATCGACTGTTGCGCTTTATCGCTTATAATTCGATATTCTATAACCGGAAAAAGTAGTCATGTTGTCATTACCAAATTGAGATTAGCTGAGTACTCGCGGAAGATTTCTGGTTCGGTATTCTGTCTGGGATCCGATCAGCTGGTTTCTTTTAGTCCTACAGTAAGATTAGTAGTTGAGACATTGGCACAATGCGTGACATCCTCTAAGATATGGCGAACGCTTCCTGTGGGGAAAATTTGTGAGTGAGAGCGCGTATCTATAACTCATTTCATACACAAGTGACGTTTCCTGTCTCGCATCCCCTCCGCAGGAGCCCGCGGTTGCCCATCACTGCAGTATATTCATTCGTTTGCCTTTAGCTCTTAGACAAGGACTACAATAAGTAGGGTGAGGTAGTATTGGGAGGCTACTAAACATGATGAAGGAGATCTATCAGCAGAACACACTTAACAGACATACAGAAGACCTCCATCACTCAGATAGAGCACAACTAGTGTACACATCCGCATATACCATGTCTTGTTGTATTTATTAAAATTTAAGTGTGTTACGAAGTTGCATAAACTTCTTAGAAATCACTAGAGGTGTGCGGGTACTCGGATTATGGGCTTGGGCGGGCTCGGACGGGTATCCGCGACAAATGAATGCTCGGGCAGCCCGATGCTTTACGGGTAGCCTGATATTTCCCAAGCAGTTCGACATTTTCGGATCGATTCGGACGAGACGGAAGTCACGTGGTTGGCTAGGATCCCCAGATTATCGGCTACGATTCATACATAGTCAGTTTGTCGGATCCTACCCGACCACATGACTTCTCTTTCCTTTGAATCGGCCCGAAGGCGTTAGGCTGCCCGTAAAGCAGGCATGCTCACGAGTTACTCCCGAGTATGTATTGCCCGCCCAGAGTACCACCGATATGAGTCTTCGGCTGCCACGCTCGGATCATGGCGGGAAGACGCTAAGGGGATTCGGAAGGATGCGGGGGAAGCTGTGGTGGGAAGACGACCACCCCACGTCTTCCCGTATCCCCTCCGCGCCCTCCCGCCACGGTTCGAGCATGGCAACCTGAGCCCCACAGTGGAGGTACCCTCCGGAGGGGAATACGAAATTGGGAGTAACTCATGAACATACCTTTTTTTTTCTTTTTTAACCGGGGGGGGGGGTTGAACCTTCAGAAGGTGTACTGCCTCTGCTGGGGGCGGAGATGGCCTATGTGGGCTTTTTACCCACTAAAATCCCCCCGGTGACGGCTTCTCTGGCGCTAGGGCTAGTCACGGGAACGCCGAAGCACACTATCGCGACCAGCCCTGCCCTTGCCCCTCCCCCTCAGTGGGGAAAGGTTTCATTACTGGGGGGGGGGTTGCTACCCCCCTGCCCCCTGGAACGGTTGATTTGCCGTCCGCCTCCACCTGCCTACAGCGCCGAGGGGTCACCACTCGCTGTTTCCTTTGGACTCACCGCAACTAGGGTGGTACCCCCAGTAGTAAAGTTCTGCATTGGGTGGATATACCCGGGTCCCACCGCCCGTGACCCGTTGTGTTTCGCTTCGCCCAAGCCCGCCCAAACCCGGTGTCGGGCCAGGCGGGTCGGCATATATATCTAGGCACCCAAGCCCGCCCGAAGTTATCGCAGCGTGTGATCTTTCCACCCGTGCCTGAGTGCCCGCTAGAGTTCTGCATTGAACGGGCTGAGTGGGCCTAGCGGGGATTCCACGAGTCGGGAGGGCTAGCACGAATGCGGATGGGTATGGACGTGTTTGCGGCGCGCATCGTCGGGCCTGCGCGGGCTGGGTATAGTTCGGGCCGGGCCAGCCCGGGTAATGAATAAACGGCCGGGTGACAGGTGGGTTCAGCCCGCTCAATGCAGAACTCTACCCAGTAGCACCCCTCAGCCCTGGCTGCCCCGCGGGCGGCGCTTGGGGTAACCGCGGCATTGACCCCATGAACTCGCGCGCCCGCGGGGCGTAGTGAGCATACCTGCCACAAAGTATCGGGCTGTCCGAGCATTCGTTTCTCGCCCGAGCTCGCCCGTCTTTTTCTGGTCCGGCCCGAACACTTGCGTTAACCTTGATTTCGGGTATCCGCACACCCTTAGAAATCACACCATATCACCATTCGGAATCACATCTGTTTATCGAGTAGCTCCACAATATTAAGTTATCAAGTTAGCAGTGGAAAATCGCGAGTTTATTGTGAGATAGCCGCGGCATAATTGAACTTACAGTAATATACGTAATTGGGCGAGAGTATGTTGTGCTAGTAAAATTGTAGAAACGACACACAAAGAAAAGGATTGGTTGGGTTTATGGTCCATATTAGGTTTACTGTGTCTCTACCGGCGACTGTCGTGTATCAAACAAAGGTAGATTCATATGATTGTAATCTGGAAACTAGCGAGAGTTGTACGGTGTAGGGCCCTAAGTCTCTGAAATTACATTGGACAGCACTACATGAAATCAGTATTCTTGAATTAAACTAACAGACCTTACCTACGTTTACGTTCATTGGCACTCTCATTTTGTTTTCGTTAGGCTATTCCAATTTTTATTATTCACTATTTTTAAGTATTGTCACTGTTCCAGTTGTAAGGTGTCCAAGTAAGGGTTGTACCTAGATTACAGTTTGCTGTTATGTATAATTTATGAGAGCGATCATGGTACTACCAGGATAAATCAGTAAGAGTAGACTTTAAGGAGAAGCTGGTGGGGAAATGACTCAGATTATTAGAATCTAAACCAGTCCAATCTAGTAGAGTTCATTTCCAATAATATCTCTATTTATGTTGTTGTCTTTAGGTCTGTATGAACATCTACTTACAGTGCGAGACACAATCTTACGATATAACTTATCGGTTTTCTTGGAGATTATAAAGTCATAACCTCTTTAAGGTGATTTCTTCAGCAGTTTTCATGAGAGCACCTATTCAGCTCCACGGACTTCTCCGTTAAATCGCATTACTTCTACACCTGCTTTAAAGTTCCAGGGTCGCTCTGAAACAGTTTATTACTGTTCTGTTTTTTTAGTTTGTTATGTGGTTTTTGAAAATGTTGACCTTTTGAGTACTAAAAATTGGTGAGGATTTTGTGTTACTTGGGTTGCTAAACAAGGTTTGTATATTTTTTTCAGCTATTTACAAACGGAGTAAAGATTAAGGAAGAGCCACGTGACACGGATGAGAATGATGATCCCTTTTTGCCAGTTGCTAATGCAACGATAGCGACTCCTGGCGAAACAACTGCTCGGGAAAGTCAACTAACAGATTCTGTAAATAATAAAGAAAACAAACATGTATTGTCTAGAGAATGCGATTCTTTTGAACATACAAAGTCAAATTTCAATAAAAAAAAGCGTAAACGTTCAGAATTAGATAACTTGGAAAAGCAAGATATGTCTGAACCATATCGAAAGCTTAGAAGAGTAACCCGGGGTAGCCACGATACAGTGCATCGTCCTCGTAGAATAATTTCAAAGCCCTCTATAAAATGTGATGTATGTTCGCTAACATTTAAATCAGAACTATCATTGAGGAGTCATACTGATTATTACAATGATGTGGTTGATCGTGTCTGTGATATATGCCAGTTAGTATGCAAATCACGTATTTTGTTAGCAGATCACAAAAAACAATCTGCTTGTAAGATCAGTACTAGAAGCTCATCAGGATCATGGATTTGTAACTTTTGTAGACGATCGTTTAAGCATAAGTCATATTTACGGGCTCATTTATTTCATCATCATGGAAATTTGGTCTCTTCATCTACAAATGAATCTGATAAAACAAGCGAGGTTCTATTGTCTGCGGGTACTAACAATCACACGATGGATCTTCCTACGCAACAGACAGAAAAAACTCCAACTAGCTCACCAAGAACGATGCGACAGACAACTATGACCGAATTCTTCTCGCCTTTTGGAAAAAAGTCAAAGGAGAAATCTGTTATCCCACAAGATGTGGTCTTCCCCAAGAAAGTGGTTTCTCCGAAACAAGTGGTCTCTCCAAAAAAAGTGATTTCGCCAAAAAAGACGATCTCTCCAAAGAAGGTGGTTTCTCCAAAGAAAATTAGTGTCACTCCTAGGCAAAATGGAACATTAATAAATTCATCTAATCATGATTGTGAACAGAATACAGTGATTAACAGTCAGTATCCTGTGCCTGATACTAATTCTGCTACAGACGTAAAACCCTTTGTTCAGATACATGTGAATTCCAATATAATAATGTCCTTATTGAAGGATGAAAAAGAGAGTGAAGTGGATGATCATACCACCTGCTCTACATCGCACAGTGCAGCCTATAATCTTAGGCAAGTAACAAGAAATGATGCTGACCGATCAACAATTGATTCGGGTATACACCGTATCCCTAAACCACTTAACAAAAGGAGACGGTCTACTATTACATCTAAACGAAGACAGAAAGGCTTACAGTTATCTGAACAAGAACTGAAGGCACATTTTGGGTGTAAAGAGTGTACAGTTCGTTTGGAGAGGTGCAATAAGGTTACAAGTAAAAAATCTCTTATGGTCGATGAGCTACAACATCTTCCAATACCAGAGGTCAATGTAAAAATAGAAAGAAACTTTGAAAATGTTGAACAGATTCCAAAAAAGGATTTCACGCTAAAGAGAGTAGAAGTTTCATTAGTGAGAGTGAATGATCTCATAAAGGTTCCGGTTAACAAATCGTTGTTGTGTCCAAAAGTGCCGAGTACACCTTGTGATACGTTTGAAGTGAACGTTAGGGAAAAATTGAAGTTGCAGTGCAATGTTTGCAAGAAATCATTTTCTTTAAAGAATAACTTGCGTAAACATTTGAAATTGTATCATGTGGCCTATATGTCAAGTATATGCAAAGCTCGGTACAGATCCAAGAGTAAATTATTGAAACACTATCTAAATCAACATGCTGTTTCGAAGCGGAAGGTGTGCTGTGTGTGTCTTACAAAACTGAAGTCACCATTGCAACAGGTGCAACATATGTCTTTACATTGCATAAGAATTATACGATCTAGGAAAGATAATTTGACTATGAGTGGTGCAACCGAGTGTAATCTACTTAAGAAATCTAATCGATGTAAAGCTTGTGGCAAGCATTTTTGGTTAAGTTCGTGCTTGAGTCAACATCAAACAGTTTGCCGAAAAATGAAGGAAGGGTATACGAAAATGAAAGGGAATGTGGAGAAAGATCATGCACTTATCGTGAAAACGTTTCCGTTTGTTTCGGCAAAGCAAGTACTTGACGGCACTACACACATTGAATATGACCACCTGCCAGGAATAAAGTATCCAGCACCTGAAGTCAGTACACAGTTTCCCAATAGCGCATATTCAGTTTCAAATATTTCTCACAACAGTCCTGCTTCTTCTGTCTCTGAATCAAAAGTTCGGTCACGATCAGTAGCAAATCATAAAAGTCTATTGAAGGGTGTTGCATTCGTGAAGGGATACAACATCGATGCTACTGGCACAGATAAAGAGAAGTTCCCCTGCACCGTTTGTGGTATACAATTTCACACATTTCAAAATTTGTGCTTACATGAGCGCACGTTTTCCAAACCTGCCGTACATGCCTGCGAAATCTGCGGGACCGCTTTTACCACCAATAGAATGCTACAAGTTCACACAGTTGCAACTCACACTCTTTCCGATGCTCAAGACTTCAAGTATTTCTGCACATTTTGTACCCAGGGCTTTTTCAACAAAACCAGCCTGCAAATTCATACAGGCCACTTCCATGCTGGTCAAACACCTATTATTCCAAAACTATGGTTGGATTGTGAACGCGTTTGGGGCGTGAATACGGTATGTAATGTATGCAACCTGATGTTCGAATCCCTTGATCGATTCATCGAGCATAAGATGTACTACTACGGAGGCCAAGCGTTTACTTGTACATTTTGCAACAAGACGTTCCAGGGAATGTATTTGTTTAATCAGCACAACAAATTGGCACACTATTCAGACGACATGCGAAAATTATGCACTTACGTGTGTAATATCTGCAATGAGGGTTTCAACAAGGAATCACATTTCCATGCGCATAAGTTACACGTTCATTTAAACGAAGTGTCTTCACAATTAGATCACACATACGCGATACCGAGTACACCTAGTATGCCAGTCAATACGTCGGTCATGTGGTATACTTGTGACATTTGCTACATGAATTTTTCACAAGACGAAGATCTCCAGGCGCACAAAATGGAGTTCTGCAATGATGGAGAGTATCTGTGTAGTTATTGTCCGAGGATGTTCCCTACCAACACTATTCTTATGAAGCATGAAAGATTGACGCATACTGCTGACAATATCAACGACTATCATAAATGCCGCCACTGTAAAGAAGTACTGGTGTCAAGTGCGGCACTGAAGTGCCATGAAATGCATTTTCACAATATGATCTCTGATCTTAAATGTAGCAGTACTGATCAGTTTCGTACACATCAGAGTGCTTGTGGCGAAAACGTAGACAAATCTGATAACGGAGAGGGTAACTTTCGCTGTACAGTCTGTGGCATGAGATTTCAAAGTCGGGAAAAACTGAACTACCATTTTCTGGAGTATACCAATGACGGTGCATATAGTTGCGAAATTTGTTATAGAAAGTTCCCGGAGTTGTATCGCTTGGAGATGCACAAACTCAAGCACTCCAATTTAAACTTTATTTTGTCTAAGCATCACTGCCCTGTATGTCGTGAGGGATTCGCGAGCGTCGCGAATGTTCGAGCGCACGTATTACATTTTCACGGTCACCTAAGTTCTAGTATCTTTCCATCTAAGCAACTTCGTTCAGATGGTCAATTGAAACGGAGACCAATAAAATGTTCTGAATGCCACGCCAAATTTTTGTCCGTAAGTACTTTAAAAAAGCATAAACTGCGTTTCATAAATGACGGGAAGTATATTTGCGAATACTGTGGTAGGAAATTCGCTCGAATTAACCTACTAAGGCAACACGTAAAAAAACATACTATTAACAGTCAGTTACTAAAGTATCCGTGTACTGAATGCGACGACAAATTTCGAAATGCGTTTCAACGGTATCAGCATATTATTCATGTTCATGGGATGAATAAACGGAAAAGTAAAGGCACCGACTTAAACACGATTCAGTACGATTTTCCCGCTCTTTATGAACAATTCATCGGTGACGAATACAATCGGGTTTCAATAGCAAATTACTCAGCAGTTCAGAATTCGAATACAGGGCCCGCTGAGTCGTTAAATCTCGCGAGTAAATGCAATGACGAACTAGAGAAAGCTGCATCGACGGTAGTCAACTCGATAAACAAAACATCGAATACTGTTGAACTGGTGGGGATAGTTGAACATTTGGAAGAAAAGCCGCTTTATTACACCTGCCCCATCTGTAGTTTCAAATATGCAACACTGAAGATGTTCCAGTCACACTTCAAAATGGCACATAAGAGAATGATCGAGGGAACGATCTCTGGTCTATCAGACAATACCACGAAGAACCGTTGTGAAAGCTGCAGATCCACTTTCCCTAACTTCCCCTTCAGTCTTCGGAAAATGATTTTGATGTGGTAGAAATTATTTGGGAAAATAAAAGAAACGTTAATCATAATGGAAATAATGACTTTGATGATTCGGAGGTTCACATGTTATGTCGAAGTTATTTTGCTTCGGAAGTTGGTTATGCCACGATTGTATCAGGGGAAGAGGTACCCATAGCAGCGAGTAATGTTGGCAAGCTCAAAGTTAAAGAATTTGCAAAAATGTGAATCTAGCAGTTTAAAGTGACATCCTGATTACCGACGAGTCTAACCTACACAAAAGCAGCTTACACACCCGACTGTCTACTGTTATTGAGGAACGACGGAATTGGATCTTGGAAGTGTGCAGATCTTGTGTCTCAGAATGTCAGTTTTTCCTGTATAATACATCTGCCTAAATCACGAAGCATAAATATAGACTGAAGTATAGATTAAGGCATAAAAAATATAGACGAAACAAACTTCCAATTGAGAATACTTGTCGTTACGTGCTTAAATGAATCCTCGATTGTCGCGATAAGAGATAACCATTGACAGATCTCCGACTTTCGGAGTACGCCTTACACTCACGAACAGGCGTATCGAGTTACAAGTAGCGGTGTGTAACCAAGTCCAAGTCGAGTTTGGTGTGGGTTAGGCGTCTGGTCTGAAGGTCGTGTTCAAGTTTTCCAAGTTCGAACAGCTGAAGCCTCTATAGTCTGAAAAGTCGCCAACAAATGACTCTCGGTCTACAATGTAAACAAGTACAATGCAAATTTGACTTGATGACCATGACAGGCTAGCGTTACCGTGAAACAAAAGACGTTACGATTCCTTAGCTACGTTTCTGTATCATGGTAAAGATGGACGATGATGGAGGATGATTTTTGCCTCTCGGGCGTCAAATTTAACAGCGCTGCACAAACCCACACCAAATTCGATTTGGACTGTTCAAATTCCTCGTGTTCATAGAAGACGAAGCCCGTGTGGACATGTTTGGAGACGCTTCACCAGTTACAGGCGATAAGCTCGGGCGCGGACGTGTTAAGAAAGAGTGAGGTGGTAGAAATTAGAACCTACTATGTTCTAACTATGTACATACACTTTGTCAAGATATTGACATTGTTATACCAGTCCTTTCTAACTTCGAATCTAATAAATAAATGTCTTTTTCTGTGCGGTATATTTTTCTTGTTATGCCTCTATAACTGTTCCTGTATACGTCAATATTTAAGGAATTTACGAGTTATTATTTTGAAATATAATTGGTACATTCGCGTTTCGTACATATCTATTGATTGAGTTGCTATTTAAAAAAATTTTGATACTGTGTGCGACGAATACGATTAAGGTTACCGCGACAAATGTTATTTAGTCGAGAGAATATCAAATATTCCCAGGATCGATGATTCTGTAACTTTTTCAAAAGCTATTGTTAAATATTGTAAATTTGTGGCGAACGAACAGTTCTGAGACATGAAACACTGTATAAACTTTAGGTGAGAAACTATATCTGGTAAACAAATTTCATCAACTTATTTTTAATGCAAGTATAAGTTATGAATGTAATTTATTACGTTTACATGTTGAAGTAGCGGTGCATATTTTAGGGAGAATATTTTCTATTTTAATAAATACCTTGAATAATTAATATACTCTTCATTATTTTCAATCATTTTATTTGTTATCATATACTGTAATCCTAGTTATAGTTTCGTGAATAATATTGTGAACATTTGATTAAATTAAATTCTGTTGCGTTACAGAATAGCGAGATTAATGTAAAAATCAAAATATTTTATGCATTACTTTTGTATAATACTGTGAGAAATGATGATGTACAGCCAAGTAAATTTTAATTGTATTGTTTACCGCTTTCTTTCATTATTTTTAAGTGTTAAATGCGATTAGTTAAGATGAACCTTACGGTTCTTGGTAAGTAAAATAAGTTCCAGAGATTTTTCTGAATTCTAAAACTCATGGAGTCATGACGTTCAAAAGTTTTACTGCACTGGTCCAATCACTACACAGATTTCCGCTAGCTACTATGTTATATTCAGTTTCTCGTATTCTTACAATTAACGAAGAGTTTTTATTTTACCTTTCGTGTAAGACATAACATTCTCATAACTAGAGAAATTAATACTAAGTTTGCAGCCATTAGCTAGGTATTATCTTCGGTTTGCAATACTTTACCTAAGATAATACCAATTGCCCGGGTCTCACCACGAGGAGGTTGCTGCGAGTGGAGACCCAAATGAAGATAGATGGTACCCGATCTCATCAATGTAACCGAAGTTAGAGTGATGGAATCATTAGTTTCATGTATCCGCCTTTTTACCATAATTTACAATCGCCTCAAAAGTAATTTAATCTAGACGCGTTAATGTTGATATCCCTCGGCGGGTGTCTTCTGTCTTCAGTCTAAATAAAAATAAATGAGGAGGAAGCATGTGAAAATAAAGATAGAAGAGATGCGACTCTATTCGTCCAGTTCGGATAAGAGAGGGGATCTCGTCAAATCACCTGTGACTACTGGATTCCAACGACCCACGTCAGTAATCAGAGCGTAAGAAGAGGGAGTTTTCGACGGAGGTCCGCGCAGGCCAAGGAACCGACGAGAACTGAGGATCTTCGTTGGCGCACCTCTATATATAAATTACTGCGGCATCTCTAAATCGAGCCCGCCAAAAAGTATTTTTGACTAATTTATTATTTCTGACCAAGTAATTGTCATAACAATTATCTCTCCAAGGAGTACTGTTAAATATTCTGCCAAATGTCTCATAACGCAAATTAATGCAAATATCCCTTCTCCTTGTCGCCCTCCAGTCGCTTTCTCCCCACCCTCTGCGATGTGTGAGCAAGATAGCTTGACCTTTGGGCGACTTCTGTCTTTCGGTGTTGGCATCAACAACCCCCCCCCCCCCTCCCCCATATGACTGCGCTGTCTGTTGTACAGGAGGGTGTCCCAAAATAGGTGTAAGTTCTTGAAAGGGGTGATTCCTGGAGTGTTTTGAAACAATTTTTTCCTTAGCGAAAAAGTTCTTCGAGGCTTCGTTAACGAGATATTAACGAAAAACCCCGACCAATCAGAGCGCGAGTCCGCTGGCCGAGCTCCCGCGGTAGTGTTGGTTACCAATCCTAGTGTACAGCCAACGCTGCGGCGAGAGGTCAACTGGCAGACTCGCGCTCTGATTGGTCGGGGTTTTTCGTTAATATCTCGTTAACAGAGCATCGGAGGACTATATCGCTAAGGAAAAAATGGTTCCAAATCACCCCGGGAATTAGACCTTTCGAGGACTTTCAATTATTTTGGGACACCCTGTATAGGTCTATGGGGTTAGGTATTGTCTACATGAATAGAGTATACCTATACTTCGTTCGTGCTACGCGTGCTTAATGTGACATCGTAAGGAAAAACGTGTTTTTTTTTATACATTCTAATAACGAATGCAATAAAACATGTCGTTTCACTAATAATCTATGAGCATAAATATCTTCATATTCGTATTTATTTCATGTTTTGATTAATTACAGTACATTCTCAATTCAGTTGGCTATGTCAAATGTTCAATTTTTCTATATAAATGTTTACAAATGTTAAGAATATTAATTTGTATGTAAGTTTACAGTAAATAGTCATCAAATTGATCGAATTCAGAATGTTTAGAAACCATAAATTGATATTAATTTTGGACAGTGATCGATTCACTCATCTAATTATCGACTAATGATACCTATTGAACGGTATTTGTACTGAAATGGTGATACTTTGAGCAATTAATTTGTCACGTTAAATGTTCACTGAATCGATATTTTAGTTTCCTTAACAACAGGGACGACGGCATACCTTGATAATCGAGAGGAGTAGTAAGCAGAATAGAACACACGTGTCACAGTGTGGGTGAAATTTGTCATTGTAAACTAATTAATGAAGAAACGAGCACTGATGAGTGTTTGAGAGGATAATTCAAGCGGCATAAAGTACAGCTGTTTCATGTGCGCGTTAATTAACTCAAAAAAAAAACGCAAGTCTGGTTAAAATCACATATCAGGTTTTAATTATATCGTTTCCAAGTTAACGTTTAGTCTCTTGAAATTCAACGATTACTTTTCGAAGCTCTAAGATTAAACTACGGGCATAATACAATCTCCCCAACGGTTCCCGGTAGTCTTTAATAAATTACAGTTTCTTGCAAAAAGTGTGTATCTCTTTTCCGCGTTTCAACTGCATAGATATAATATTACAAGTGTTCTAATACTTATGGATGATAGTGTAGTGTATGCACTGCATTGGGTTGTTTCGTGTGAACCACCTTGTGCACTATTGAGCGGAAATGCGCTTGAAATCGGGGAACGTAGAGAGCACGTTGAGAGAACGTTGGAGAAGGAGACAGTACGTTCACCGAGTTGACGGTCGTATTACGTTCCGATTGGGGCGCAGTAAGTTAACGAGAATTGAATTTCAGCGGAGAAGGTCTCGAGTACGGTCGCGCTCCCGTTCCATGAATTACAAATCCCAGCCAGCCTTTGAACACGTCTACGTGCGTCCGTGTCACGAAATGATGCGATATCAATATTGCGGTGTATAGTAGAGTATACCCATATAACATTCGACAAAGCATTCTAACCTGGCTGACATTATTACGATAACATATACGTGGTTCGATAACGTGACACGCGACACAGTATAATATTACCGGCGCCCTGTGACGTGCTTCTGTTATCCTGCCGTCCTCCATCCATGCTATTTTCATCTCGGACCAAATGAAATTGGTATACTGTATTTCCCGTTCGATATGTAACTTGCGAAATCAGAAGTTCCCCACATGCCAACACCTACACACGTATCGTTTCGCACTGTGGCTCGTTTCTTGTCGTAACATTCTTTGATGTCTGTCAATATTGCGGCCGAATTGGAAGGCATATTGCGGATACGGATTGGAAGGTTGGAATCTGGTTGGTCCTTTTCTAGGGGAAAATGTTGATTTGTATATTGAGTTTCGATGTTGTCTAATATCTTGCATAAACTCGTCGTTTTAATTTTCAAATCATGCGTGTTCTACACAAACGGAATGAAGTGCAAACACAGGAACAGAAAGGAACAAAATTGGTCCTAGTTCAAATTGGTTCATGAACCAGTGTGAGCAGCGTCATCTCTTCTAGGTCGCTAGAAATACTATATCCCTCGAATCTCGGAGCACGTAATGTATGAACATCTTTGAATAGACGTTTGTTTCACAAAA